CACCCACCTAACACACACACACCCACCTAACACAACACCCACCTAACACACACCCACCTAACACACACACACCCACCTAACACACACACCCACCTAACACACACACACACCCACCTAACACACACACCCACCTAACACACACACACCCACCTAACACACACACACCCACACCACACCACACCCCACCACACAACCACACACACCACCCACCTAACACACACACACCTAACACACACACACCCACCTAACACACACACACCCACCTAACACACACACACCCACCTAACACACACACACCCACCTAACACACACACACCCACCTACACACACACACCCACCTAACACACACACACCCACCTAACACACGCACCCACCTAACACACACACACACCCACCCTAACACACACACCCACCACACACACACCCACCTAACACACACCACACACACACACCCACCTAACACACACACACCCACCTAACACACACACCCACCTAACACACACACACCCACCTAACACACACACCCACACCTAACACACACACCCACCTAACACACACACACACCTAACACCTGCACACACCACACACACCACACACCTAACACACGCACCCACCTAACACACACCACCCACCTACACACACACACCCACACACACACACTCACCAACACACACACACCCACCTAACACACACGCACCCACCTAACACACACACACCCACCTAACACACACACACCCACCTAAACACACACCACCCACCTAACACACACACACCCACCTAACACACACGTACCCACCTAACACACACACACCCACCTAACACACACGCACCCACCTAACACACACACACCCACCTAACACACACGCACCCACCTAACACACACACACCACCACACACCACACCTAACACACACGCACCCACCTAACACACACGCACCCACCACCTAACACACACACACCCACCTAACACACACGCACCCACCTAACACACACACGCACACACCTAACACACGCACCCACCTAACACACACACACCCACCTAACACACACACACCCACCTACACACACACACACCCACCTAACACACACACACCCACCTAACACACACACACCCACCTAACACACACGCACCCACCTAACACACACACACCCACCACACACACACCCACCTAACACACACACACCCACCAACACACACACCCACCTAACACACACACACCCACCTAACACACACCCACCTAACACACGCACCCACTAACACACACGCACCCACCTAACACACACACCCACCTAACACACACACACCCATCTAACACACACACACCTAACACACGCACCCACCTAACACACACGCACCCACCTAACACACACACACCCACCTACACACACACACACACACACACCAACACACACACACCCACCTAACACACGCACCCACCTAACACACACGCACCCACCTAACACACACACCCACCTAACACACACACCCACCTAACACACACACACCACCACCTAACACACAAACACCCACCTAACACACACACACCCACCTAACACACACGCACCCACCTAACACACACACCCACCTAACACACACACACCCACCTAACACACGCACCCACCTAACACACACACACCCACCCAACACACACACCCACCTAACACACACACACCCACCTAACACACACACACCCACCTAACACACGCACCCACCTAACACACACACCCACCCAACACACACACCCACCTAACACACACGCACCCACCTAACACACACGCACCCACCTAACACACACACACCCACCTAACACACACACCCACCTAACACACACACACTCACCTAACACACACACCCACCTAACACAAATGCACCCACCTAACACACACGCACACACCTAACACACACGCACCCACCTAACACACGCGCACCCACCTAACACACACGCACCCACCTAACACACACACACACACAACACACACACACACCCACCTAACACACACACACCCACCTAACACACACACCCACCTAACACACACACATCCACCTAACACACACACACACACCTACCTAACACACGCACACACCCACCTAACACACACACACACACCTACCTAACACACACACACACCCACCTAACACACACACACACACCCACCTAACACACACACACACACCTACCTAACACACGCTTACACCCACCTAACACACACGCACCCACCTAACACACACGCACCCACCTAACACACGCACCCACCTAACACACACACACACCCACCTAACACACACACACCCACCTAACACACACGCACCCACCTAACACACACGCACCCACCTAACACACACGCACCCACCTAACACACACGCACCCACCTAACACACACACACCCACCTAACACACACGCACCCACCTAACACACACGCACACACCTAACACACACGCACCCACCTAACACACACACACCCACCTAACACACACGCACCCACCTAACACACCCGCACCTAACACACCCGCACCTAACACACACACACCCACCTTCCATAATGCACTACTGTTTTATTCTGTTGCTCCTGTTTTAAATGTTTTTATTATGTCCTGTACAGTGTCCTTGGGTGTTTTGAAAGGCGCTTTTAAATAAAAATTATCATTATTATTATTATAGACTGTAAGAATTTACGGACGCCTATTTCCTGCGTTGAAATGTATGTGCCACAGACATGGGCAGATTCACAATGGCCGTGGGAATTTGTGCATGCATTAGCTGCACGAGCCCCATTCATTTACTGAGTGCATTCAAAAGTCCACAGCTGCTAAACTAGACTGGTCCCAAATACTCCCCTCAGCGTTGACAGCATCGGGAACGCAGCGTTGAGTCAAGAGCGACTTTTGAACCATCCTGTAAAGAAGTCGAGAGGAAAGAAGGTGTCCTTAGAATGTGCTGGATAATTCTTTTTCCGGGTACACCCCCACCAGCAAGGAGTGAGATTGCGGCATGTCAGCGCACGTGGTCATGGATTATTTTGAGCTGTTACCCGCCCACACTGGGACCGACAGGCTGTAGAACCAGGACTCTGGCTGCAGAACCAGGACTAAACCACAGATTTCTTAAACTCAAAATGGTGAGTGTTCCTGAGCTGGAGGAGTTTACTTTTACATGTCAGTCAATTGGAGCCAAAGGAAATAGGTGTCAAAACATCGTCCTTGAGCACTTCCGTATTGAGTTAGCATGAGCTGTGTACAGTTTTTGAGCAGTCTTTCCACAGTTAATTCTTGGTCTTTTCCTCTGATTGTTGCTTTGATTCAATATGTATAGATCCGTCAGCTCTTGGCATCAGCGCGGTTTGCTTTGAGTGACTTGTAAACACAGTGAAATCCATCTCTGAGGCTGCATCCAGCTTTCAGCTTTTACCGCGGGGTTTTCAGCAGAGCAAACATATGAGGCGTCCGGCTGTGAGGCTGAGTGCTCGGGCTCCTCTCTCTCTCCATCGGGGCCCATCCTTTAGGCCTGGCTTCACTCACGCCTCACAGCGGGGAGCGGCGCCCGATGGGAGCACAACACATTCACCTAATGACTGCGGCGGCACCATGCTACCGCCATGTTTATGCAACACGCTGAGAGCAGAGACGCAGACGGCGATGTGTGCAGAGACGGGGAAGTCGGATGGAAACTAGAAAAACTATGTCTCTCACAAACTGCTCACCACAATGTTTAGACTTTAATACGTGCTTCTTTCTCTGTTATTCCTTGAACCAAGTGCAATTATATCTCTGGTGCAGTTATATTTCTGGTGCAGTTAAATCTCTGGTGCAGTTACAGCTCCAGAGTTTCATTTTATTATTTTGATATCAAATATCTTAAATAATAGATCTTGTTTGATGTGTGCCCTTATATTCTCCTTTTATTCTGCTGTAATGTGCGCAACAATGACATTGACATTTTCCCACTGAGGGACAAATAATGATTTATTCTATCTCAAGGGTCTCCCACCTGTAGCTTGGGAGCCACCAGTAGCTCGCCAGCTCCTCTCAGGTAGCTCCCCAAAGGATTTAGAATGATTGAATGATTCACTTTTGAGTTATTACATATCTATTATAAGTATAAATATAGGGTTGTACAGTATTATGGTATTTCACAGTAGTTTTTACATCTGTTTTCCATGTTTTGTCCTAATTATTACATAGATTTTTATTGTGACTGCAAAAAGGAGTAGCTCTCTGCCGCTTCTGTTGTATTAAAGTATCTCTCCGATTAAGGTTGGAGACCCCTGTCCTATCTTATTCAATTCAATTCAATGTATTTTTGTATAGCCCTAAATCTCAACTGTATTTACAAAGCTGTTGATTCACCGACACAGATCAGAGAATCAAAGAGTTGAAACACAGGAAATGCAAGAATAAAAAACACAATGTGGACGCCAATGTCTCCACATTCAACAACACTTATGGACACTGGTCTCTGCCCGTTATGGACCAATACCAATGTGTTTTGTGTTTTCTGTTTTATTTCTCGTGAACTTTTTGATTCTCTGATCTTCAACGTCTGTGTAAAGTCCTCTGAGATAACCACTGTTGTGATTTAGGGCGATACAAGAATTTAATTGTCCTGGGACCCTCCTGTATCAGCAAAGAAAACCTCTAAAAACCCAGTGCTTATGATATCTTTTTGTTCCACTTGGACGAGGAACTTGGGTCTGATTGAGGAGTCTATATTCACGTGGTATAATTTTTTTTTTGTTTCCTCTACCGCCAAAAACATGTACAATAATTCTGAAGGTAAAAAGTGAAAAAAAGAAATTTGCTCCTGTCCCCATGTGGAGGGAATGGAAATTACACTAAACTGTCTGACCAGATGAAACATACTATATATATATTAATAAGTGAGTTAGACTTGCTAACTCAGCTTCAGGTCTTGGTCTGGGCTGAGATCCGACCTCTTCAGTGACGGCCCGAGTTGTGTTTTTCAGACCGGATTGTTCAGAACAGGAAGACCATTGTGTGTCCCATGATCGACGTCATCGACCACGACAGCTTCGCCTATGACATGCAGGCAGGGGGCGCCATGAGGGGGGCCTTCGACTGGGAGATGTACTACAAACGCATCCCCATCCCGCCAGAGCTGCAGCACGACGACCCCAGCGAGCCCTTCGAGTGAGTGACCACAGTCCGGGACTTCAGGCTTAGAAGGTTCTTTCAATGAGACGAAAGTGTAAAGAATAGTCCAGGCGTTAAAGGTCTCAATCCAATTCAATCTAATTCAACGTATTTGTGTTTCGGCCTCAATCACACTGAGCCAAACACACATCGTTTCAAAATATCGGTATCATGATTCTCTGATCGATATTTTGATAAACTTCTTATTTTAAATGAAAGGGAGTCGCAAGTGTTGTAGCTTAGACTGAGCTGCTCTGGTATGTTTGACCACATCATGTTTTTATCCTAAATACACAAAATGGGTAATAATTAAATCTGAACCAAAAATCCCTGTGATGCTGGGGCGTGTGTGTGTGAGCATGTGTGTCCGTGTGTGCAGCAAATATTGAACTGTGTGTGTGTTCCAGGTTCTTGTGTTGCAGAGGCCGCAGTGTGTGTCCAGGTTCCCGTAATAATAATAATAATAATTATGATACATAGCTTTTTTGGACACACAAACAAGCGGCATGTGTCATTTTACATTCACTCCATACACGGTGGTGATAAACTACTATTGTAGCCATAGCTGCCCTGGGGCACACTGACAGAAGCGAGGCAACCAGTCTGTGCCATCGGCACCTCCCACAACTACCAACCATTCACACACACACCAGACTAATTCCAGGTAATGGGGGTGAAGTGTCTTGCTCAAGAACGCAGCCGCCCCACTGTGGCTTCTGGTGTTCCCAAAGGTCTCCCATCACATTACCATGATGTCAAGGCCTCGGTGTGTGGTTGTCTGTGTGTGTGTGTATTTGTGTGTGTGTGTGTGTGTATGTGTGTAGGTCCCCATGATGTCAAGGCCTCAGTGTGTGTGTGTGTGTGTGTGTGTGTGTGTAAGCATGTGTGTATGTGTGTAGGTCCCCATGATGTCAAGGCCTTAGTGTGTGTGTGTGTGTTTTCACATATTGACCTGTGTGTGTGTGTGTTCCAGGTCCCCTGTTATGGCCGGGGGCCTCTTTGCTGTGGACCGGAGCTGGTTCTGGGAGCTGGGAGGATACGACACGGGTCTGGAGATCTGGGGAGGAGAGCAGTACGAGATCTCCTTCAAGGTGAGACAAGTTAAAATCCTGAACGAGACCTGCACGAGCACACAACCCTCGTTCTCACTCTCTTTGTCAAAGTTCAAACCTGTAAAATTTTGAAGGTGAAGAGTTTCTCCTTAAAAAGCACCGCCACATGAGACTGCTGCTGATTTCTCCCAATCATCCAAACACAGCCTGTCTTCATCATTACTGAAGCTGTGTTTCTGCAGCTTGTGTATTTGTTTTTTCTTGTTGCTCTCTGTCTTTAAGGCCGACAGTAAAGCAGACATGTGTTAGTCTGATCCAAACATCAGTGTGGATGGTGTTTTTGACCACGCTGCAAACACCGCAGGAGTGACCACATGGGACTGCTCTGTCCTGAATAATGGATGTATGATATTATGTGGAGGGTGTTGTTGCTTAAACCCATCTCCACATGGACTAGAGGCCACCCGCAGTACTGCAGCCCAAATCCACACAGGCTGTAAAGATATTTCCCCATTCACCAAAACGGCTTGTCCTCAGAAACAGGGAACCCAGAATTGGTCAGAAAGCTCAAATGTGAGTCTGATCCTGAGGAGTAGAACCACCACACCTTCTGCACAAGACCAGGAGAACCGGAGCTAGTGTTTGGCCAGAGGCAGACATCTTGGAGAGACCAGGGACAGACATATTGGAAAGACCAGGGGAAGACATCTTGGATAGACCAGGGGCAGACTTTTTGGAGAGACCGGGGACATACATCTTGGAGACCTGGGGCAGACATATTGGAAAGACCTTGGGCAGACATCTTGGAGAGACCAGAGGCAGACATGTTTCCTCTGATCAACATGATTGTGTCTCTTGGGTCTGTGTTTGAAGGGCAGTGGTCGCTCAGAGCTCATGTATCAGGTGCTCTCATGTTTTCACCTCGGTAACACCCTCATCCCTTCGATTATTCCGCTCTTCGCCTGTGTGCATTTGCTGCTGTGTTCTGTTCCATTAGCTCCGTGTCTGGTTCCGTCAGCCCCTGCTGTGATCAGATTAGTAGGATTTCACTCTAATCCATGGAACAAGCTGTGGCGATCTTATTAATTGGAAAACATTGGAATCCACGCGGCGACGGGAAGAGCACACAGCGGTGCGCAACAGTGGTGCTGTTAGCCCACAGCTGAGTCCAATATGTCACCGCGACGTGTGCAGGCAAAGCCAGGCCCAGGACGGGAGCTGGAAATACAGAAAATACACCTTATTTTCTATATTATCTGCATATATTATCTACTGTGTATAATCTACTATATCTCACTACAGAACGGAAAACTCAAACAGACTATGTTCAATTCACAGTTGAAGTTAAAAAGTGGCTTTCGCGCAAATAAATCTGCTCACACGGAGACTGAGGTGGGCTCTATGTGCGCCCCACTCTATAATGTATGTATTATGTAAATATGTGTGAAATATGTTTCTGTCGACTGTAGTGTGAAATGTACGTATTGATTTTATGGTTAGTGGTTTCATACAACAATTTATTGTCTGTGCGATAGAAGTGTGAGGCGTGGTTTGTGTTATTGTATTATTAAAATAATTTAATTAAACATAATTACGTTGAAATAAACTACAAATAGAAACAGAAAATGTCACAAAGTTATGAAGCTCACAAATGCACAGAAGCTGAGTAATTACACTTTCCAAACAAAAAGCCGTCACATTGTCTGCTCTGGGAGTTCTGGTGGAAAACATTTGGTGACTTTTTTGTGGTTTTGATAAAATCCTATCTCCAAACTTCAATCACATGTTTTCCCGGCTCTTTTCCTAAAACCCTGCCCAAGACTAAACCAACAGGAGATGTCCGCTGCGGTCCTCTCGGATGCAAAAGTCGCCTATAGGACTTCCACATTCAAACAGGCTTCATATCTGCAGCTCGCCAATGCAAACACAGCCTCAGCCACGAATGAAGAACTTTAATTAAACCTCCACGGACCAGCAGCAAAGTTATCTGAGCGAGAAACTGTGGGCAACTTTTCTGACAGCATACATTAAGGCCAAAAAGCCCATCTTTTATTCATGCTGATGTGGCGGCTGTTGGCGGCAGGAGTGAGGGGCAGAGCCGAGCACCAATCTGAATAGAAAAACACCACAGAACATTCTCACTTACCCCGGCTCAGAGAAGAACAACTGCTTTTGTTCTTAATCCTGTCGTTTTAAGAAGAAGAAGAAAGTCAAGGGTTTCGTATGGACTGAGTTTTCAGCAGAAGTCATTTTCACTTTCATTATGTCTCGCTCTCGTGTCTCTCTCTGGTCTTTCTCTCTGTGGTCTCTCTCTGGCCTCTTTCTGGCCTCTCTCCAATTCAGTCTTAATCACAACATTAGTTTGTTGTACATCTCGGAGGGCTTCACAAAGCTGTCGATTCGCCAACACAGATCAGAGAATCAAAGAGTTCAATCACAAGAAATTAGATGACCAAAAAATACATAGAGCCATTGGTCCATAAAGCTGGACATACACAGCATTATTTTCAATATTTGCACTTGGCTTCAGCTCAAACTGCAAATGTTCTTACCTCACGATTCATGTTCTTACACTGTACGACCTGATGCTGCGATCTGACCCTCGTCAGACTTGAAACAAAGGCACTGCCAAGCCACACAATTAGACACTTTCAACCGGGGATGCTACAACAACCACATCTACATCTACGGCTTAAATGTAAAAAGTTAATTTTGTCTTCTTATGTTCAAGGCTTTTAAGGTTATTTTAATAAAACAAGACAGTAAAGAAAGCTAGTACTGGTTAATTACCTGATATGTTTGGGCGGTGCACTTCGGCCTTCATCAGAGGTCTCTTATCAGCTGTTGTTGCTGGATGTGGTCAGTCAGACAGATCTCACAGATCCCTCAGACTGACCACGTCCCTCACTATGTTGTGGTCTATGGAGAAGTGAATCCTAAGTCTACACTTGGGATTAACTTGAAAAGAACCTTCAAAGCCTAAAACTACAGCTGTTTAGCCACTTGTGAACTTTGCTAAATTGCTATGAACTTACCCGGAAACTTCAATTGAGTCGCAATCTCTCCCAACTTTTGTCCTTCTTATTTTGGTCGTGGTAGTGCAGGGAGGACACATCCAAGAGGAACAGGTGAGTCTGCCAGAGTTCCACTAGTTGCTCTTGCAGAGTTTGGTTCCATGTACGAGCCGCTGCCATGCTGCTTCAGTGTTTGCGCAGTGCCAGAGGTGTAATATTTGTTCTTCTGTATGTTTATTGTCATTGACGACACACGGCGTTACCTTCAAGTGCTGTTGTTTATTGCGGCATCTGTGTTTGCCCAGTCTAAAAGACGGAGACCAATGTCCATGAATGTTGTTGAATGTCGAGTGTGGTCGGGAGGTCCACACTGAGGGACGGAGGGATCTGCTCCCTTTCTCTGGTCTCTCATTCTAATCGCTCTTGCTGGTCTCTCTCTGGCCTCCTGGTGTTCTCTCAGTTTGTTTTAGGCGTGTGCTGCTTCTTATGGTGTGTTTTGTCTCGGAGCAGAATGTTTTATTGATGTGTTTTTGAGGCGAGACCGAGCAACAGCTGCTGAACCAGGAAACAGTCACGTTCAGAACACCAGTCTGCTCTGCTGGTTACATCTGTTTAAAGGACACATGCACAGTCTCTGGTCTCTCTGGTCTCTCTCTAGTCTTTCTCTGGTCTCACTCTTTCTGGTCTATCTCTCTTTCGTCTCTGTGTAGTCTCTCTGGTCACTCTCTTTCTGGTCTCTCTCTCTATATACATTTTCCCTCTGGTCTCCCTCTGGTCCCTCTCTCTGGTCTCTCTCTTTCTGGTGTCTCTCTAGTATCTATCTAGTCTCCCTATGGAAAAAATACCCCTTATATTTTATACTTTATTTTTAAAACACTTTTTATTCATTATTAAACATATTGACTTGATATTGTCAGTTGTGTTCGTTCATGATGGAGACCTCCTCAACACAAACCGACCGATGGATTGAGTTGAACCAGCCTCAGGTCGTTCTGAACGTGTGTTTGGAGTGTATAGTTTTGTGTTTTGGGTCCCAGAGCCTGACATTTCTCTGATGTCATCCGCCGCAAAGCTGTTTCAACACATTTTAATCACATTAACTCAGTCATGTCCCTCATGAATCACTGTCACGAGAACAGAGTACGGTCTGGAACCGCGGGACCACCTGGTGAACAGGCACACACTCTCCTCTCGCCGACCTCTCGTCCAAAAACACATAAATCTTTGCTGTGGTTTTATTTTGAAAAGGCATTTACATAGTGATGGTGTTAGCGGCGAGAATATGTGGAGTTTGCAGAATCCGAGAGAGATGGATGTGAGGTCACTGTATTTTAATTAAAGTCGGGGCAGAGGCAAAAAACAGCCAAGATTTAAAAGTTTATGCAGAATAGAGACGTTTTTCAAGGATGGAAGGTCTCAGCGAGCGGGGAATGCAAAACAGAAGGAGTAGCGCTAACTCTACCAGGCTAGCATTAGAGCTGACTCACACAGGCGCCATGGACTGAACTCTGGAGCCAAACGACGTAGGTAGCAACGGCCTAGCAACCAAAGAGCCAATCAGGAGAGGTGCTGGTCTGTTTCTGCAAATAAAGCCAAATTTTGGAACAGAATAATCCTAATTGGTCGATTATTCAATGCTCAAAGCTGGAGTTACACAGAAGTCCCGCCTCTCTGATGTTAGAGACTCCAACTGTTAGAGACTAGGAAGAGACCAGGGAGAGACCAGAGAGAGATCAGGGAGAGACCAGGAAGAGACAAGGGAGAGACCAGGGAGAGACCAGGAAGAGAGACCAGACAGAGAGACCAGAAAGAGAGACCAGAGAGAGACTAGAGTGACAGACTTGCGGGACCAGAGAGAGAGACCAGAGAGAGACCAGAGAGAGACCAGAGAGAGACTAGAGTGACAGACTTACGGGACCAGAGAGAGAGACCAGAGAGATATATCAGGGAGATATATCAGGGAGAGACCAGAGTGAAAGACCTGGAAGAGACCAGAGAGAGAAAAGAGAGAGACAAGAGAAAGAG